AAAGGGATGCCTGATTAGTGTCTGGGATTTGACAAAAGAATGTTAATATTTCTTAATGGCTGTGGATAGTTCCCTGAATGGGCTATTCACTTACAGGGGTGGGGTACCAGACACTGCTTGGCAGAATATGAAAAGCAGCAGTTTCAAAACAGCATTAGCCCTATTCAGTTATTCAGGCAAATGCACCCCTCCCGCAATTATAAATATTCAATATCCAGGATACGTAGACAGCTGTCTTAGACCAAGTCAAAAGATGGATGCTTAACCATGGGGATTGTCTACACCAACCCAACTGGCAGTGGTTCAACAGAGCTGTAGGCTAGAATCTTTCCCAATCCTACCTGACAATGCCAGGACTTGAACCTGGGTCATCCATGTGCTCTACCACTGAGCCACAGCCCTCCCAACTGTCTCCACTTGGTTACTGCATGTATGGAAGAGGGAGCGGGCTCATGCAGCCAGCAACAGCCCCATTTCTGATGTGCCCAGTGGCCATGTTTTGCAGAGGCCACATGGTTGGCGATAGTCTAAAAGGGGACGCTATGCATACACAAATGGATGTTCAAGGAAGTTTTTAGTGTCTGATGTTTTATTGTATAGTGGTACCTCTGGATGTGAAGGGGATCCGTTTTGGAGCCCCGTTCGCATCCTGAAACGGGTCGCGATTCATTGTTTCTGCACATGTGTGTGACGTCATTTTGAGCATCTGCGCATGCGCGAGCGGCGAAACCTGGAAGTAACGTGTTCCGTTACTTCCAGGCTGCTGCAGAGTGCAACCTGAAAAAGCTCAACCTGAAGCAACTTCAACCCAAGGTATGACTGTATTTTTAATATTTTGTTGGAAGCTGCCTAGAGTGGCTGGAGAAACCCAACCTGATGGATGGGGTATGTATGTATGTATGTATGTATGTATGTATGTATGTATAAATAAATAAATAAATAAATAAATAAATGTCTTGATTAGTGAATGGGAACTCTAATTGGTTATGCTTCTTGCTCATGTGACCAGGAGTCTTAATTTGGCCTGTGAGGTCATTTGCTCCCAGACATGCCTACCTGCCCCACCTCTGCCATCACACCTGATATCTGGTGTGGGGCAGGTAAAGCTGTGCCTGCAAAAGAAAGGGAGCATTATAGGAAGCCCCTGACTGCTGCTCCAGCAGTGGGGCTTTCATTCAGCGCTTTTCAAATTTGGCTGAATTTAAATTCAGGGCCAAATGCCTCCCCTGCTTGTGGCAAAGCTCTTCCTTTGCAGACACGGTTCGCTTCAAGGTTAAGAATCAATACTCCCTTCAGGACCACTTAGACACTAAGTTGTTGAAATAAATAAGAAGAAATGAAAGAACTGAGAGTGCACTCCTGATTCTTTCCTTTTCCGTCACCTTATGTTGTGGTGATGATAGATGATTGGCAGCCGGATGGCCCCGCCCACCTGTCCAAGTAGCCCACGAGGGTAGGAGGGAGCTTAGAGGCACATCCCACCCCCTGTTTCATGTGCACAGCCAATAGGTGGAGGGGGGAGTGCCTCTAGCTCCACCCCTCATGCCAGCATTGAACTGAATGACCAGAAGGGCAGATGGCAGACATGGAGTATGGGATCCTCTGCCTTGTAAGAGGGCCCACTTGCTTCCACTTGTTGTCTGCTTCTATGTTTGTAAATGAAGCCAACATCACAAAGGCACCTGGAGTGCAGGGTTTTGCCCAACATTGTGGGGCCCTGGTGTGTGATGTCACACGGTGTCAGGCTTCAGGGAATCTGATCCCTCCCACGGTGGGCAACCAAGAATTAGGTAAACGAGAAGAGTTCTTACCAAGTCTTTTATTCAGTATTCACAGAGAGAGGGTTTGAAAAGTTTCTCTATTGCAGTAATGGCGTTACTCCAAGTAAAGCCCTGCCCCCTCCATCTCTCCTATTATACATCATCCCTTCATTGGCTGATCTGTGCTTTCTCCCTCTGAGCTTTCTGTTCTCCTATTTTCAATGCCCACTGGGACCTGGGAGCACTGGCAGAGGAAGAGGGATGCGAGGGGAGCGCACCGCCCCTGGCAGCGTGATCCCAGTGGGGTGCCATCGTGGCTGCCCCCCGCCTGCACTGGGTGCCACACCCCTGCAGGTGGGGTCCCATGCCCCCAGGACATACGCCATGCCCCCAGGGCACACACCAGCCACGTCCCCGCCTGCTCTCTGCCCCCTGGTGTCGGAGCATGAAGCTTCGACAGTTCCTGGAAGGGGAGGGTCTGGAATGCTTTCTAAAGACACTGTCTATCAGCTGTCTCTCTCCTGGGGCTTCTTCTTCCTCCTGCTCCTCTCCCAATATTTCCCAGCTTCTCCCCTTTGCAGCCTCTGAACTGTGACCTTCTGCAAACCACTGTTCTAAATCTATACTGTCTCCCTCTTCTCCAGGAAGTGTAGGAGGGGGCGGCGGTCTCCACCATTCCTCCTCAGTCCAGTCCCTGACACACAGTAGAAAGAGACCTGACGGGGCCCATCTTGCCCTCTGAAATGCATTATGGGGCCTAGTTGCAGCTGTGGGAGGGCCCCCACAGTGAAAAGAGGGGCGCTTGGCTCCCACGGCCCCACATAGATGGCATGCCTTTGGAGTATCTGTGTGCTCTCTCAGCCCAAGGAAATGAAACCTGGCAGTTTTGCCCACAGAATATCTGCCTGTCCAGGAACTGATGAAGGCTTGTGTCAGTACCTTTCGTCAGACCGGGGGCAGAAGGGGGCACTGCAAATGGAACACAGAGACCACTCTTAAAATGGAGCATGTGGGCTAGACTGAAAACAATACCTAGCAATAATTGTTTTAAATATTAGCTTCTTAAAACACACACACCAAAAAACACTTGGGAAACAGGGAGCAGGCAGTTATTAAGCTGATGGGTTAAGACACCATGTGTCAAGTGCAGCAGGGAATGCAAAATGGGAGTAGAATGAGAGTGTCAAGCTCTGGAAAAGAGAATCTGGGTTTTTCTGCCTCGTGGGCACAGACTGTCCAGAGGGACTTGGAAGCTGCTGCTCCTGTTGCCCGTATGCCCTGTATGAGCCACCAACCATGCTGGTGACTGGCATCATGCCCAACAGCAAGCTTACAGAGAAGCAGGAGGTGCAAGGAGAAGCCAAATTGTCTCTGGGTCATTAATAATAATAATAATAGTACCCACTAGCCACCATTTGAAGAGACATCATTTGGTGTTGAAATCGTCTTCTCTCTACCCTCCCTTTTCCCTTTTCCCTTCATTTGTTCTCCTTGTGCCACAGTGCCTTCCAGGCCTCAGCCTCCTCGTGCGCATATAAAAACAACATCCCTCTCCAAATGAATTCCATATCTGCAGTGCTGCTGGCTTGCACACTTGGAGCCGCTCGAATTTTTTTGGCAGCCTGCGTGCAGCTTTTTATGATGGTGGTGGGAGGGAAGAGGCTTCTCTGTGCAGAAGAGGATCCATTAAAGATTCATGGCTGATGAATAATAGAAAATTCAGTCCTTTGATTGTGCTGGGCACACCACGTAGACCTCGGTCCTCATGAAGCTAATTTACAGCAGCTTTTGCAGGGATTCAGAAAACCGCAGTGTGGGTTTTTGATTAAAACAAACACACACACACAAAAGGCAGGGTTATGGTCCAGCCCTCTGGATGGTTTGCACATGTCAACTTTGATTTGATAGGGAGCTAAACTTTGGCCCCTTGACTCCCCCCCACAATTTTAGCCACACCGTAGCCCCCTGCCTCCAACCTTCGAAAGTCAGTGACTAAGGGGACAACACAAAAGGTAAGGAAACAGGGCTCTCCTTTGATGCCTAGCCCACTGCAGTTCAAGCAATGCCTTTCACAATTTGTAATCGGCTGGGGCAGGTTCAAAAGCCATTCCTGCCCTGAGTATAGAGGTGTCACAAACAAATTTCTCCTTTCATCTGCAAAATGTCAGAAGGGGATGGGAAGGGCTATGGCCCAGGGGTGGAACAACTGCTTTGCATGCAGAAGGTCCCTGGTTCAATCCCTGGCATCTCTGTTGGGATGTGTCCAAGGGAACGGGGGCAGTTCGCAGGCCCCCAGCTGGCTCCATCAAACCGGCCGGCAGCCGGGTGAACTCCGGTCCTTTGGAACAGCATCAAAACAGCAGCACACAGTTTCAGAAGCCTTCAGAAGCTTGAGCATGCCTTAATCAGCAGAGTGAATAACACGCAACAGAAGTGGCGGACAGAGGCATATGTAAAGCATATTTACAAGCAGTTTATTCAGCATAATAAAGGACAAAGAAAACATGTCTGCTCTCTTTTCATGTCCAAGAGCAGGAAGCATAAGCAAAAGTTATATACAACAAAAGTTCCCAGCAGGCTGTGCTGGAAGTAAACAGACATGTGACATACAACAACTCCACATGCCTGTTCTTAAGGTGGAACAGAACATCAATACCCTAACATCCTCAAGGTAATAATAATATTAATTTTATTCCTTATACCCTGCCCATCTGGTTGGGTTGCCCCAGGTGGGGCTGGGAGAGACCTGTCTGAAATGCTCAAAAGCTGCTGCCAGCCAAGAGACAATACTAAGCTCGATGGACCAGTGAACAGACATAGGGATTTAGTTGGTAGCTCAATCCTGATAGATGTGCACAGAGAAAGTCATTCACACAAGTGAGATATATTGCTCAACTTTCCTGAAGTTCATCTCCCTTTGTGCCAGAGCCCCAACCCCAACCCTTAAATAATCAGTTTGTGAACTAGATGGAAGAAAAGGCCAATAGGCAAAGAATCCACTGGGAAGTTTTCCGGCCCACAGGCAATGCAAGAGGGTCCAAAGCCAGCTCTAGTTGCATATAGCTCTTTGTGCATAATCACCGAGGGCCGCAGAGGGCATTCCCATTTGCAGATGCATCCAGCTAGCTCAGTGGGCCCTGGGCAAGCATCACATTATAGATTCATAGTACACATTTGCATTCATAGGAAGCAGGCTTTATACTGATTCAAACCATTAATCCGGAATTTCCCAAACTTGGGTCTCCAGCTGTTTTTGGACTACAATTCCCATCACCCCGTGCTAGCTAGGGATGATGGGAGTTGTAGTCCAAAAACAGCTGGAGACCCAAGTTTGGGAAACCCTGCATCTAGCTCAGTACCATCGATACTGACTGACACTAGCTGTTCAGGGTTTCAGACAGTTCAACCTGGGCTTTCCTGCATGCAAAACAGATGCTCTACCACTGAGTCACAGCCGCTTCCGCTTCCATTCCCCAAATTGGAAGCCTGTTTCCATCCACAATCAGCAGTGCTGAATTGGAACAATTATGCTTTGAAGTAAGATATTTAAAAAACAGTAGTGGCTGGTGTCCATTGTGACTGGTAGGGTGGAAGACGTGGAGGCCAACAGTAAGGTAAAGGTAAAGGGACCCCTGACCATTAGGTCCAGTCGTGACCGATTCTGGGGTCGCGGCGCTCATCTCACTTTATTGGCCGAGGGAGCCGGCGTACAGCTTCCGGGTCATGTGGCCAGCTTGACTAAGCCGCTTCTGGCGAACCAGAGCATCACACGGAAACGCCGTTTACCTTCCCGCCGGAGTGGTACCTATTTATCTACTTGCACTTTGACATGCTTTTGAACTGCTAGGTTGGCAGGAGCAGGGACCGAGCAATGGGAGCTCACCCCGTCGCGGGGATTCGAACCGCCGACCTTCTGATCGGCAAGTCCTAGGCTCAGTGGCTTAAACCACAGCGCCACCCGCATCAACAGTAGGTGGAGCCAAAGCTAAGAATACGGGGAGACAGAACCAATGGTAAATGGAGCTAGCTTTGGGCATATTTGCACCACAGCTAAAAATGGACATTTTTATACCTTCCAAAGGCCCTGGAGATCACAGGAGCCATTTTGGGTGCTGCGCTCTCACACGCTCTTGACTGAAAAGACACTTTTCCAGGACTGTGATCTTGCGCATGCTGAAAAACATGCGTTTTTGGGTGCCACGTGAACACTCCTCCCATGCTTTTTTCAGGGTGAGAGTAAGGCGTGGGTCATGTGACACTCCCAGGAGTGCATCCCAGAAATTGTGTGTCCTGGTTTTGCATCAGAAAAAGTTGGAAGATACACATTTCCCAAATCTGTTTTGTCTCCTGAAGCTCTCTGTGGTTCCACACCTATCTTGTTTATCCAATATTTCCACATACTGTTGTAGAAGAACCACACACCTCCTTTACCTTTTTGGGGGGCGGGGGGCAGATTTTTTGTGATGTTGCCTGTTTTGCATATCTTGCTACAGGTTCTGAATCAGCAACCCATGAACTCTCCCTAGACCTTCACAAACAAACACATTTCTGCAACCAAAAAAAATTAATTCAGGAATGGGAATTGCAAAGTGCACACAAAGGCACTAATCCACGGTCACGTCAGAGTGCAAGACGCCAGAGGGAACAAAATCTAGACAAGCAGAGGTACTGGAAGTGGCTAAAATTAGAGGAAGGCTCTGCCAGAAATGGACAGCAACCAAAACAAAATAAAAACAAGGAGGAGAAGGGCAGGACCTTGTGACATGGATGCACATAACAAGAACTAGGCGTGGTTTGAAGGCGGGGGCAAAAACTGTGCCAGTGGAAGAACCATGAAATGGCAAATACGTGCTGCCTGGAAAATTGGTTCTAAAACCTGACTGTATCGCTGATGGACTAAAGAGGAGGAAGTTCACAGCCAGGGCCACCCCACCCCCAGGTTGGTTGTAAGAAGGCAGGCAGGTAGGTGGGAGCTGACAGGCAGCAGACTGAGGTTGGCAGAGCAGTGCCCCATTCACCATAATAAAGGAGCCTCAGCTGAAAAATAACAACCTTTCCATTTTTATGTGGTTACAACCATCTTGTTCTGCTTCTATTACAATATATTCAAAGTAACTTCATAACTCAAAATACATGTCAATCACAGAGTAATTAATTAAGCCATACTTGCATTTGGCAGGGTTAAAAATGATAATTGAATGCCCTTTAGAATTAACTGCATGCTGTACAACTGCTTAGTTATAGAGTTTTAGCTTTCACGTCTAATTTCCTCATTTTTAAAAAGATTTCCTTAAGGCTTCCCTCCCCCCCTTCACTTGTGTTGATGGAAGAATACACAGATAAGTGCTGTATGCTTGAATGACAGTTTATATCTTGGATGTCATTCAAACATTGCCTCTGAGATGTTATCCTGGAATTAATTATATCCAATGCAAAATGCCCTTTATGTTTGTTTTTGTCGTGATGACTGTCTTCGTAATTGGATATTGAGCGACTCTTTATGTGAGTTTCACTTGGTATCAGTCTGGTTCCATTGGAACGGCTTTTGCTCTGCACTTGCTGCCAATCTCAGTGACAGCGGGCTCTACAAAAGGTCAAAATTAACAAAGGCCAATTGACAGAATATCACTTGCAACTGAACTGGGGGTCAATCCACAACATACATTTCAAGCATTCTTATGGTACTTTAACAGTTGTGGCTTCCACCAAAAGAATACTGAGAAACTTAGTTTGTTAAGGATGCTGGAATTGTGATCTCCTAAAAACTCCCAGCACCCTTAACAGACTACAGTCGTACCTTGGATCCCGAACGCCTTGGTACTTGGATGTTTTGGCTCCCAAAGGCCACAAACCCAGAAGTGAGTGTTCTGGTTTGCAAACGTTCTTTGGAATCTGAACATCCGCCAGGGCTTCTGCAGCTTCCGATTGGCTGCAGGAGCTTCCTTCAGCCAATCCGAAGCTGCGCTTTGGTTTCCGAACGTATTGGAAGTTGAATGGACTTCCGGAACGGATTCCGTTCAACTTCCAAGGTACGACTGTACAGTGCTACAGAAGGGGAGGGGTAAAGAAACTGCTTCCTCCCTTCCTCCATAACAGCTGCCTCTCAAGTTAGGTCAATCATATTCAAAGCTCTGTGGGCTGCCACCACTTCCCTCAGAACCCTTTACCACCGGCTGTAATCCCTGAATTTCTGTGGGGACAGACAGCATAGTAGGTCTGCAGGGTCACTTTCATTAACAACGAATCCCATCCTTATATCTCAGGGGTAGTTTTCACTAGCAATGCTCTGTGGATTATTCTGTAGTTAATACCTCTTGTCTTGTCAGGCTGATTAAACGGATAAGTAGCTGTGCCATTTGTATGTTGTTTGGCCCTCTTGATTTTTCATTACCAGCATGAGAATTTTTAAAGCCTCCTTTCTAAGACTTCTTATGAACAAGTAGAAAGCCACAGTTAACTTAAAATAAATCTAAAAACAGATGCCTGCTTAATTATACAGTCATCGGAACAAAGGTTAATTATGAAAAAAGACCTTGCTCAGCTATAGTTCAAATTGGCCAGAAGGCTCCCTGCTAAATCTGTAGATAAGCTGATTTTTTGAGTCTCAGAACAATCTGCAGTCAGAGCTGCAATGTGACCAGTTAGGTTATACTGTAGTTGTTCTATGTATACACGTATTGACGCTTCCAAGAGCCATTGTAAGGTTGAGGCATTGCCTTTTCCAATATTATAGCTGGTTTAGAGAGCTGTAGAATAGGGCTGCCATACATCCGGATTTCCCCAGACATTATCAGGATTTCAAAGGCGGAATTGACATCCAGGGGGAATTTCTCAAAGGCGGCGCTTTGTCCTGGATCTTAGGCAAGTCAATCCATTTTCAGTGGTTACTTTTTGGAATATGTCCACCCTATGTAGAATTAGGTTGCTTCAGTCTTGTTTCTTCATGGGCCCATTCTACCTTTAATCCTGTTGACCCTCACCATCTGAGTTTGCTGTTAGAAAGTATATTTATATATGCATGAATATTTGTGTGCTCCTTAGTTGTTATACACCTTTTCTACATCTCATTTCAAAATGGTACTTTTGACTAGTGATTGCACCCAACCAAGTTCGACTCAGAATAGACCCATGGAAATTAATGAACCTAAGTTCAATTACCTTCAGTGGGTTTGCTCTGAGTAGTACTAGCGTTGGGTACAGCCCCCAGGCACTGTTTGATTTTGGCCTGGCAAGGAGGAGTACAACGGAAAAAGCTCTGGTCAAACAAGCACACTGTGGGAACCGAGCATGTCTCGCCCTGTAAGCTGCCTGGATAGAAAACCAGCCTGGGAACCATATGCTCCCTGAGTCACTATGAGCTCCTTATACAAAGAGTATAAGATAAAGCTGCAAATACCAGGCCTATCCTTTTACTGCTGTTTTATGGATTATACCTGACAGGTTGTGCACTCCCTCACGCCAGTGCTTTAGTGTATATTTGGCATGATGGTTTGGAAGACAAAAGAGGACAAGTGTATGGCTATTATCGCTCATGCAGGCTGCTGCCTCCTCCTGCTGCTGCTGCAGCAAGGCTGTTTGCTTCCCACACCTACCCATCGATTGTGTGTTACAGATGGAATACTGCCATTTTGGCGCTGGAAAAGGAATTTGAAGGAATATAGTCAAAGGCGGCTGAAGGAAGAACCCAGAGCCTACAGAGTCTACAGTACTGAGTGTTATGTCAAAGTTATCATGAGCTCACAAATAAGAAGTCAAAGGTTAGGTCACCTCAAAGATCAGTGGGAGTCATCCCAAACATCTTTGAAATTGAGTAGTGATGTTACCTTCTCTCTCTCTCTCTCTCTCTCTCTCTCTCATTGCAGATAGATGCAGACAGGAATAAAGCAAGTGACATTTGGTGTGATGCTGTGGGAAAGAAGATGTCGTAACTATTTTAAGATATACAGTCATAGCTCATGTTACGTTTGCTTCAGGTTGTGCGTTTTCAGGTTGCATCCCGTGGTGACCCGGAAGTACCAGAAAGGGTTACTTCTGGGTTTCGCCACTCGCACATGCGCAGACACACAAAATGACATCACGGGCATGCGCAGAAGCGGCGAATCCCAAACCGCAGACGTGGGTTGCGTTCTGCTCATGTTGGAACGGGCCTCTGGAACGCATCCCGTTCGCAACCAGAGGTACCACTGTACTGCACACACACACCAGCAGCCAGTAAACAAAAATCCTACAAGGAAAGGAAAGAACATGAGAACATAAGGAGAACCTGCTGGATCATCTAGTCTGTTCTCACAGTGGCCAACCAGATGCCTGTGGGAAACCAGCAA